TTAACTGTAACAGTTCCAGGGGATCTGATACCCTCAGACAGACATGCATGCAGACGGAACACTTATGATGCACATAAATAAAAAAAAAATTAACCAAACTAGCCAGTAAGCATGTTTGTGGTCTAAATTAGTTGGGTATGGTGGTTTATACCTGTAATCCAGACACATGGGAGGCAGGAGAATTGCAATGATTTTGAGGCCAAACTGGGCTACCATAGAACCTGCTCCAATGTAAGGGGAAAAGTAGAGAAACAGGGAGATTGTATGGACTGAAAAGAACTTTTTAATTTGTTGGGTGGTAAACTTGCATTATATAAAAACAGTTATTTGATGTCTGAAATATCACATGAAACATGGCCCAGTTGTATGCACATATACATAAAAGTGAATGTGTAAAATGTTAAGTATTAGAGAGCTTTATGAGTGTTTATTTTCAGTTTTTCAACTTGAGCGTTCTGAGAATTTTTATAAAGTTGAGGAACACTTGGATTTTCATCTAAATTGCCATTTTTAAAATGTTCTAGGGCGGTTGTGGCGCATGCCTTTAATCCCAGCACTCGGGGGAGACAGAGGCAGGCGGATCTCTGTGAGTTCAAAGCCAGCCTGGTCTACAAGAGTTAGTTCCAGGACAGGCTCCAAAGCTACAGAGAAACCCTGTCTCAAAAAACAAAAGTTCTGTCCTGGGCTGGGAAGATGGCTGTCAGCACATGCCTACAATGTGCTGAGGTGGATCCCTAAATGCCAGGCATGGTGGTATGGACTTACGATCTTGACTGTGAGGATCACAGGTGGGCTCCTGGGGCTCACTGACAAACCAGACTAACGAACTGGTGAGCTGTAGGCTAATGACAGACCCTGCCTCAAAAAGACAAGGTGGGCTGGCTCTGAGGTTGGTCTCTGGCCTCCACCCAGTGCCACCTGTACACATGTATGAACACAATACAAGTAAAATGCTCTAACCTGGCAAATACATGGATTTTTTTTTTAGACCTATTAATGTATGTTGTATGTCAGAAGAGGGCATCAAATCTCATTACAGATGGTTGTGAGCCACCATGTGGTTTCTGTGAATTGAACTCAGGACCTCTGGAAGAATAGTCAGTGCTCCAGCCTCCACATATGGGTATTTTAAGCAAGATTTCTCAATATTTGATCTTTGAACATAATGAGAATCACACAAAGGAAATGATCACCAAGTGTATACACACACAAAATGTGCCTGAGGCCATCAGTCATGAGGCACCACCGCATACCCACTGGAATGCCCCACAGGAAATGGATAGCAGTATTGAGTGCCAGTGGAGACAACCAGCAGCTGGAACTGCCAGCAGGACTGAAAATGGTACCGCTGCTCCAGCAAAGGAGGCTCAGCAGCTTCTTGTTAACTAGGCACGTCCTTACCACAATTCATTAGCAATCTTTGTACCCAGGGAAACGAAAACATGGGTCCACACAAGGTTTGTGTTTTAATGCTTGTAGCAGTTATGTTGATAGTAGCCCCAAACTACAAATACTTGAAATGTCCATCGATTAGAAATCAGACAAGTGATCCATCCACACAAGGGAAATGATTGTTAATAGAAGTAGAAACGAGTAACTTGAGAACGTACCCAGTGGAAGGAGCCAGACCCAGAAGAGGGCAGTGCACAGTTCTCTTCATGTGAACTAGAACAGGCAGAAGTAGCCTTTACGCTTTGCCTCATAACTGGGTATTAGAGGATATCTGTACCTTGAGTGGCAATGCTCATGGGCTGCCTACATTGTCAGAAGGTACTCCGTGTGCTGGGCATGGTAGTACATACCGGGAAAGCTTGACTGGCCTATATGAGATCTTGTCAAAAATGGCTCCTGAAATACTCTGTTTTGTGGAAGTCAAATCTCAGTTACTGATTTAAAACAGGCCTAAATTTTAAAACTGCTTGGAAAAATTTTTGCAATATGTTTTGGTCATGTTTTCCCTTCTCCCATCAAATTATTACATTTATTGACTGTATGCATGCTTGTGTCACAGGGTACATGTGTAGGTCAACCTGAGGGAGTTGATCCTTTTACTATGTGAGGGATCAAACAGGTCCTCAGGCTAGTGACAGTATCCACCGAGTCATCTCAATGGCCCACCAAGTTACACAGAGAAACCCTGTGTCAAAAAAAAACAAAGGCTGGGCAGTGGTGGCACACGCCTTTAAGCCCAGCACTGAGGAGGTAGAGGCAGGTGGATCTCTGTAAGTTCAAGGCCAGTCTGGTCTACAAGAGCTAGTTCCAGGACAGGCTCCAAAGGCAACAGACACACTGTCTCAAAAGAGAGACAGACAGACAGACACAGGCACACAGAGAAAATAAAAAGTCCAAGAAGCCTGGTAGAGTGGCACAAAACTTAGTGGTACAGTGCTTGCCATACAAATGTAAAGATCTGAGTTTAAATCCTAGAACTTACATAAAACCTGGTGTGGTGGCTCCTACCGTGAGATAGGAGCCACAGCCAGCTAACTTGGCATGTGCAGCAGCGAACAATGAATCTCTGACTCAAACAAGGGAGGTGAAGATTGTCTTCTTCCACAGCAGTGAACAATGAATCTCTGACTCAAACAAGGGAGGTGAAGATTGTCTTCTTCCACATGCACACTGTCACACCCCACCTACATTCATGTGTGTACAAACACATCATACATGCTTGCTCACACATACAAAAATTATACTTTTTTTTTTAAAAAAAAAAAGAGATGTGGCCAGATGTAGCACCTTCAATCCCAACACTCAGGAGGCAGAGGCAGCTGGATCTCCGTGAGTTCGAGGCCAGCCTGGTCTATGTCGTGATTATCAGGACAGCCAGGAATACATCCATCTCCAGGGTCAATACTCATAACCTCCCCTCTGCTGCCCTGTAAGTCCTTTCTCTTCCCTCTTTGACTCTCAGCTTTAGAATAGGGGAGTAGCACATGCTTGGAAGATTCTCACTGTCCGCTGTACTGTTTGCTTACTCTCCTGTTCAGGAAACTCACCCTTCCTCCCACTGTACTGGTACTGAAGTGCGGTGTCCAAGTTCCCATTTTGGTTGCAGTGTAACTGACTTCAGCAGTCCAGAGTGGCGCTTGCACCTGCCTGAGAGGTCACCTTTCTGTGACTAGAAGCTTTCATCTTGGGTTGTCTCTTTTGATTTGAGGATGGGTTAGTGAAGCACATTTGGTGACTGTGTTACTCTACTGAGGAAGTGGCCCAAAAGGAGGAAGGTAGACACATGGAGAGAAGCCTCTTCAGTTCCCCCTTTCTGCTTGGGCTACTTAGAATCGTTTTTTCTTGTTGTGTATAGTTATAGTTAGAAGTCCAACTTAACCCCTAGTTTACTAGGTCGTGGTGGGAATTAGATGTGCTAATACTGGCCAGTACACTAGCTAGAGCACCGGAACTGTTAATGGAAGAAGGTAGACAGTTTTCCTGGCTGGAATTGCTCAGCATTGCTGTTTGGATTCCCCACTGTTCTTGGGGTGTCCTTGGACTTACATGTACTTTAACTCACAGATTCACGTGCATTGTGGGAAATGCCTTTGCAGTTTGAGGTGAGCCTCTCCCCAAAGCATAGGTTGTCCTCTGCTGGTCAGAACTTGGACAGGGACTCAAGTGTACCTTTAAGTGGGGGCTGACACCTGTGCAGCAGAGCTTCTACCCGCTGAGCAATCTTGCTAGCCACCAAATTTCTCTTCACCAGTCATGTTTGATGGGCCACACAGATGGCCTCATTTTTACCTGATTGCACACAAACACACCACTAAAAAGATCACATTACAGGTACTGGGAATTAACCTTCCATAGTTTGGGAAGGGACCCGGGTCAGTAGAGGGGCACAGTTCTGATTGTAGCACTGCTGGCTTCATTTCCGCCCACTCATCCCAGCACTAGTAAATTGAAGACTCAAAAAGCCAGGCTAATGGTCTGTAAGGGCATGGACTTTCCTCTTCTTCCGGACCCATGGCTCCGCTCTCTAAAAGGATGCTGGCTGGTTGGACAGACTGACATACACAGTAGACTTATAGTGTGGGGATGCTGGGATAATGCAACTGGGCTTGCTTCTCCAACTATACCCATGAGCAAACACCTCAAACCGTTCTCCAGAGAAGCATCAGGGAAGGGGTCCTAGTGACAGGAACACCTAGCAGCTTGTGGAAGACATTAGGGAGCTGGTAGAGCTCAGGCCTTCAAAGTCAGTGTCACACTGGGGAGCAAGACGTGACAGGATGTTCCAGTGGTGTGATGTTGGTACGTGATGGTGTTGGCACCCAACTCATTTCTCTTTATTCACACCAGGATCCCAGCCCATGGAATGGTCCAATCGCATTGAGAGTGGGTCTTTCCACATCAACCCAGCCTAGAAACTCCCTCACAGATACACCCAGAGGTCCCTCTCTTTTTCTCCCTCTTTTTTTTCTTTCTTTCTTTTAATTTTGGTGTTTTGAGACAGGGTTTCTCTGTGTAACAGTTTTGGCTGTCCTAGAACTCGACTTATAAGCCAGGATAGACTCAAATTCACAGAAGTCCTTCTGCCTCCCAAGTGCTGGAATTAAAGGCATGTGCCACTGCCGCCCAGCTTCTTTCTCAAGTTTAAAGTACTGTGGTTAACTGGATGGGTGGTGGTGGTACATGTCTTTAATCCCAGCACTCAGGAAGCAGAGGCAGGTGGATCTCTTGAGTTCAAGGCCTGCCTGGCCTACAGAGCTAGTTCCAGGACAGCTTGTGCTGTTACACAAAGAAACTGTCTCAAAAAACAAAGGAGACTCTTTTTTATTTATTTGTGCAGTATCCTGCCTTGTAGGACAGAAGAGGGCACCAGATCTTATTATAGGTGGTTGTGAGCCACCATGTGGTTGCTGGGAATTGAACTCAGGACCTCCAGAAGAGCAATCAGTGCTCTTAACCACTGAGCCATCTCTCCAGCCCCAAAAGAGACTCTTGAAATTGAACTGAATGCATTTTGCATTATGAGTTAGCCATAGGCTGGGTGTGTTAGCATACAATCTCTGTACTTGGGGAGAGTTGCCCAAGAACTTGAGGCCACTGTGGACCACACAATAAGATCCAGACCAACCAGGGTTACACAGAGAGATCTTGCCATGCGTCTTCAGGGGACTTGTGACAGGAATGCCCCACTTTGAATCTGAAATGCCTGTTACCAGTTTGTTTCCAGCTGGTAGTGCTGGGTTTGGGGGCTGGGGGAACTTTCGGAGGTAGAACCTGGACTGTGGAGGTATGTCAGCAGTGATACAGGCCTTTGAAACCTGTTCCCACCCCTGGCTCCAGCTTCTGTGGACTGGGCAGCTCCGCCAGGTGCAGCCCTCTGACATCACGAGCCCGGTAACTCTTGCCTCCTTGAAGTAATTTCTGTCAGATGTTCTGGTCACACCAAAGGAAAAGCAATGGATACGGCTCCAGACAGCTCTACCACAGGACACCAAGTTACTTGGTCTCCCTGGCACAGACCCAGGGTCTCGGAGAGCTGCAGTTCAGAGCTACGAGCCTACCTTCTTCCAAACCCCCGCAGCTGAAGTCTGGGTGGTCGTCGTTGTCCTCTGGGGACCTGAGGTGGGGTGAGGTGAGGGAGGAGAAAGAAGACACTCAGCTGCTGGGCCCCCACTCCTGGACAGGACGGGCACTGCAGCAGCCACTGCACATGGGCAAGGAATATCTGCAAAGAAGCCTGGCAATGTCCCCCACTGGTCAGCTACATGGCACATGTGTTCCTAAGCCACAGACCTTGTATCTGAAAAGTAGACATGACAGTTCTGCCTGGGTGAATGGGTTGGGGACCCACACCAGGGTTGGAGTGACAAAGATACAACAATGCTAGCACTAGCCCCCCTTGGCTGGGTGGAGCAGAAGGAGGCTATAGTACATCAGAGGAGAGAACCCAGTTACTCACAGTTGGGATGGCAAGGGGACCCCATCAATCCAGTGCCAGCCTTCAGGGCCTCGTTGGGCCCCCACCCAGGAGTCTTTGGTAATCTGGTATTTTCTTAGGAAGTCCTGAGGGAGAAAAGCAAGCAGCTGTTCTTTGCACAGCATGGCTTACAAGGGCACCCATTTCCCAAGGCCTTTGCAGGATCCCAACATGCCCCTCCAGGAAGGAATCAGCTCAAAGATCTTGCCATGTAGAATATCTGTAATTATGGAAGTTGACCTGGATGCTCACTGGTAACCTGGTCCCCTCTGTAGACTTGGGGACCAGAAATGAGAGCGATGCCATCTCAAGAGGATATGACAGTCACCACACAATGGGGGACTCAAGCAGCTCAGAGGAGAGAAAGAGACCCTGGGCCAAGTTGGGAGACCCAAGCATGCCCAGGCATCAGCCAGTAGCCAGGAAGGGTTGGCTCATGGGGACAGGGGTTGATTAAGGTGTAGAGGAGTATGGGACAGATTAATGTTGCAGTCCCCTACAAGAGCAAAATTATCTTGCACTGGATCAATAGTATTAAAGCCACCACAAAGGTGAGTCTGGGGCTGGGCATGGGCCTGAGGTTAAAAGGCTTGCTGCCTGGCCTGGTGAGCTGAGTTCAATCCCCGAGACACACAGTGAAGGACTGAACCAACTCCTCTGACCTCCACACATACACTGTAGTGGGTGCATGTGTGTGTCCCCCACTCAAATAATCAGTACACTAAAATGTGGCATGACCTTGGCAATAAGAAACAGCCAGCGGTGCTGATGCACGCCTTTAATCTTCGTACTCAGGAGGCTATGAGTTTGAGGTCTACGGAATAAGTTCCAGGATAGCCAGGGCTTCGGAGAAACCTTACCTTGGTGAAAAACCAAACCAAAATGTGTGCATGAATATTGACTTAAGGAGTAATAGAATCCAAAAGGAGTTATGATAGGGCTAGCAAAGAGAAATGTCCTTCTAAATACTGGTCCTTGATTATTCTTGCTTGCTTTTGAAACAGTCTCTCACAATGTAGCCTTGCCTGGCCTGAAACTCCAGATTACTTGGTAAATGGGGTCACCACATCACCACATTTAGCTGGCCTCCAGTCTCCCGTCTCCACTTTCTAAGGGATAGGGGTTGCAGGAGTGTCTGCTGTATACACCTTTATATTACTTTTTAACAGTAAATCCAAATAGCTTTGGTGGTCTGAATGAGAATGGCCCCCACAGGCTCATAGATTTGAATGCTTGGTCCCCAGTTAATGGACTGCTTGGGAAGGATCAGGAAGGGTGTCCTTGATGGAAGAGGTCTAGTCTGTTTTGGAAGTGTATCGCTGGAGGAGGATTTTGAAATCTTACAAGCCCACGCCATGCCCAGTGTCTCTCTCTGTCCATTGTCATGCTTGTCTGCTTCCCACCATGATCATGGACAACCCTCGGAAATCGTAAACAGGCCCCTAATTAAATGCTTTCTTTTATATAAGAGCTGCCTTAGCTGGGTGATGGTGGCACTCACCTTTAATCCCAGCACTCAGGAGGCAGAAGTGGGAGGATCTGTTCCAGGACAGGCACCAAAGCTACAGAGAAACCCTATCTCAAAAAAAAAAAAAAAAAAAAAAAAAAGAAAAGAAAAGAAAAAAAAAAGGAAAAGTGCTTGCCTTAGGGCTGGAGAGATGGTTCAGAGGTTAACAGCAATGATTGCTCTTTCAGAGATCTTTTTTTTTTTGGTTTTTGGAGACAGGGTTTCTCTGTGGCTTTGGTGCCTGTCCTGGAACTAGCTCTGTAGACCAGGCTGGTCTCGAACTCACAGAGATCCACCTGCCTCTGCCTCCCGAGTGCTGGGATTAAAGGCGTGCGCCACCACCGCCCGGCTCTTTCAGAGATCTTGAGTTCAATTCCCAGCAATTATGTGGCTCAGAACCATCTAAAATGGGATCTGGTGCCCTCTTCTGGTGTGCAGGCAGAACACTGTATACATAAAAAATAATTTTTATTCCTAGAGAAGCTAAATAAGGTGAATCCAAAGACAAACACATAGGCATCCTCAGGAATATTAACCTTCATCAGGCGATGAAAGGAGACAGAGACAGAGACCCACACGGGAGCACCGGACAGAAATCTCAAGGTCCAAATCAGGAGCAGAAGGAGACGGAGCACGAGCAAGGAACTCAGGACCACGAGGGGTGCACCCACACACTGAGACAATGGGGATGTTCTATTGAGATCTCACCAAGGCCAGCTGGCCTAGGTCTGAAAAAGCATGGGATAAATCCGGACTAGCTGAACATAGCGGACAATGAGGAATACTGAGAACTCAAGAACAATTGCAGTGGGTTTTTGATCCTACTGCACGTACTGGCTTTGTGGGAGCCTAGGCAGTTTGAATGCTCACCTTACGAGACCTGGATAGAGGAGGGCAGTCCTTGGGCTTCCCACAGGTCAGGGAACCCTGATTGCTCTTCGAGCAGATGAGGGGGGGGGACTTGATCGGGGGAGGGGGAGGGAAATGGGAAGCGGTTGTGGGGACGAGGCAGAAATCCTTAATAAATAAATAAATTAAAAAAAATAATTTTTAAAAAAAGAGATGCCTTGATCATTGTGTGTCTTCATGCAATAGATCAGCAACTAAGACAACTAAAAAAGAAAAAGAAACACGCACACACTTAAGGATTTTGTGTTTATGTATGTTCATGCATGTGCAGATGAAAAACAGAACAAGTCAAATCATTTAAGTATCATAAAGAACACATTGTGATATGATTGTGTTCAGAGCACTGATCCTTCAGTTAGATTGTACAAATGCTTGATCTCAAGCTGCTCCAAACTGGATGGCTAAACACACCTTTGCCCCCAGATGGAGGAGGGTCCAAGGTCACTGTGGGTTGAATGCATCTGATCTGTCTGAGGGCAGGGCCAGGCTGTCTGGTGGCAGTTAGGACACTGGCTGGCTGTTTCAGGAGGCATTAGCATAGGGCTTAGCTGGCGAACCCACACTTGCTGGTCTTGCCCCAGCTTCACGCACTCTCTAGGGACCCACTTCTGGACCTAACCATGTCTCCACTGTTTCTATTCTGCAGATGCAGCCAGGCTGGGTGGGGCTTTGATGCAGGGAACTGGGCTGGTTTCTCGGCTTAGACTGCTCTGATTTAAGCTCTAAGTTCTCCATCAGTGCTCAGGTCTGAACCCAGGGAGGTCCTTGGGTTCCTAGAGGTGTACCCTTGAAGAAGCTGTAAGTTTATCTCTGCTTCCTGGCTTATAGTAGAACCCTTCACTCCTGCCTGCCACCACCTGCCACCCATTCTAGAACTGAACTGATATGGGCACCATGCCCATCAACTTCTGAAGCTGAGCTAAGCGGATGTTTTCTCGTTATAAAATTAGCTATGGAGGTGAAGAAAAGGCTTAACTGGTAAAGAGCTCGACACACGAACACGAGAAGCAGAGTTTGATCTCTAGCACCTACATACTGAGCCAGGCAGGTGTCGGGGGGCTCACTGGCCATTCAGCCCACTCAAACTGGTGCGCCCCAGGTCCCAGTGAGACCCCTGGCATCCGCACGCAAGAACACACCCACGGCTACACATCCACACGTGCTTGTGTCAGCCTGACACCAACAGAGACATAGCTGGGGGGATCTTGGTTGAGAAGATGCCCCCCCCCAAGAGTGGTCTCTAGGCAAGTCTGTGGGGGAGATGTTCTTGATTAATAATGGCCCCTGTGGTGGCTAGTCTTGGTTGTCAACTTGACATCTGAAATGAACTAAAATGCAAATCTGGGCACATCTGTGAGGGAATTTTTCTTAATTAAATCATTTGAAGTGGGAAACCCCACTTCTGATCTGGATCTTTGAGGTGGGAAGATCGACCTTTAATCTAGGTCACAGCTTTAGCTGGAAGTCTATATAACATGGAAGAAGGAAGCTTGCTCTCATTGTTTGCTCTGGTTAGCAAGGCCATTCCTTCGTTGACATTAGAGCCTACTTCTTTGGGATTCCAGCAAATACTGAAGACCAGCTGAGACATTCAGCTTCATGGGCTAAACTATGGGATTCCTGGACCTTCCTTAAAAAGACAGCCATTGAGCCAGGAGGTGGTGGCGCACGCCTTTAATCCCAGCACTTGGGAGGCAGAGGCAGGCGGATCTCTGTGAGTTCGAGACCAGCCTGGTCTACAAGAGCTAGTTCCAGGACAGGCCCCAAAGCTACAGAGAAACCCTGCCTCAAAAAACAAAAAAGCACAGTCATTGTTGGATTAGCTGGACCACAGCCTGTAAGCCACTGGAATAAATCCCTTTATATAAACAGAAAGTGTGTGTGTGTGGGTGTGTGTGTGTGTGTGTGTGTGTGTGTGTGTAATTCATTCTATAAGTGCTGTTACTCAAGAGAACCCTGGTACAGGCTTGTGAGAAAGCAGGCGAAAGGGCTAGAGAATGGCTCAGAGGTTAAGAGCACTGGCTGCTCTTCCAGAGGACCTGGGTTCAATTCCCAGCACCCATGGCAGCTCATGACTGTCTGTGACTCCAGTTCCAGGGCATCTGACACCCTCACACAGACATACATGAAGGTAAAACATCAATGCATATAAAATAAAAGTAAATAATCATATATATAACCAGTCTAGTGAAGCCTTTGCTTCCCTGGGACAATTTATGCTGGTCAGCAAGGGCTGTGACTAAGAAGAGACAGGCGTCACTGAGGCAAACCTTCTGGGACGTGTTTCCTCGGGGGCTGTGGTCCAGAGGGGACCAAGGCTCGGGCTTATGCTGGTAGCTAAACTTAGTGATGTGTAAGAGTTTCCCAGGTGGTGCTGGTTTGGGAGGCACAAAGAGGTCACCAGCAGCTGAGGCTTGCTTTTTCAGAGGAGCTGAATTTGGTTCCCAGCATCTCTATCAGGTGACGCTCACAGCCCTCTGCAATTCCAGCTCCTGGGCCCTGTACTCACATGCAGACACACTCACACCTTGCAGTGTGTGATACCCTAGGAAGGGCTACCAGCTCATCTTAGAGATGAGGAAACTTCAGCCAGAGCTGAAGAGACTTGGCCAGGTTCACACATCAACAAAAATGCATCTTTTCAGCTGAGTGTGGTGGGGAATGCCTTGAATTCTAGCACCTAGGACACAGAGGCAGAGGCAGGTGGACCTCTGAATCTGAACCAGCCTGGTTTACACAGAGAGTTCCAGGCCAGCCAGGACTACATAGCGAGACTGTCTTTTAAAAAAAGAAAAGAAAGAGGATTGTTTATGGTCACAAGGCACTAAGTAATTTCTGAGATACTTTGTTCCCCAGCACTTACAACCAATCCCTGACACTTACACACCAATAAACATGCTGTATTTTCTTTTTCGAGACAGAGTTTCTCTGGCTGTCCTAGAATTCAATCTGTGGACCAGGTTGGCCTTGAACTCACAGAGGTACGTCTGCCTCTGCCTCTGGGTGCTGGGATTAAAGGCATGCGCCACCACAGCCCTGCTCATGCTGTCTTTCTATACCACATCCTGGGAGGGCCCATGGGTCTCTCCCAGCAAGCCTGCCTCTACTGTTAACTGGCTAAGTAACTCAGGCTGTCCTACCTCTGCCTTCTTAGAAGGAAACCCTTGGACACCTGATATCTGGTCCCTGTGCATGTGACTTTAGCCCTTTGGGGCGTTGGTGACTCTAATAGCATGAAAGACTTGATCTAGAGATTTCTTCCAGGGCTAAAATTCAAGGACCTGGGATGGCACATCCCTCTTCGAGCCAGCCTTTCTTACCTGGGTGTGGCCCAGCAGGGGCAGCGTGGCATGGTGGGCCGAGCAAAATGCTTGGCTGCCCTCCCAGTCTTGGGCTTCTTCCGAGAGGTAGTAACAGTGTTCCTGAGACCACAGCCAGTCTTGAGGGCATGGCTGGCACCTGGTTCCTGAAAGCAGAGATCTGTGGGTCAAGGAGAGATTCTAAGGAGCTGTGCCTGAATACACGGAAAAAACAAAACCCGGCCATGACCTCTGCCAAGGGAGTGAATCTATGGGTAGGGAGCTGGTGAGCTTCGAGGTGGGAAAGAGGGTGGCAGAGAGACCCTTAGGAAGGTTGTACAGCCTGCACTGTGAGACGCTCCCCTGGAGAGGGGCCACAAGCTATGGCCAAAGGGAGGAAAGGGCCAAGCTTTCTTCAGGCTGCACATTGCTCTCTCTGGTCTCAAAGGTGCTTCAAGGGCACAGGGTAGGGACGGGATATTATGATATCTCTAATACCATACCACCTCTCGAGGCCAGTGCCACAATGGTTACAGTGCAGAAAGCCAGGAACACAGCCATGACCACCAGAGCCCAGCGCAGGGACTTCATGTACAGGGGCAGCCCTGGAAAGGGAACAGAAAGGCAAGTTATGAGACCACCACCACGACATTCGACACAAAAGCCACACTAGCCTCCGCCCACCCCACCCTGGCACCATCTCCATGGTCACCCAGGCAAAGCACTTGGGTTAGATCGGAGCTTCATACTGAGGAGACGTGCTGGAATATGCTCTGCCTCCTTCTCACACGCTAGGAGATAAAGGCTCTGGAAAATGCAGCAAGCGATGCACACACACCATGTGGTGTGCCTGTGTGCCAGACAGAAGTGTAGCTGCCACAGCTGTGGGTGAGGGGGAGAGAATCCAGAACACCACGGGCACTGTGTCACAGAAGAAGGAGCAGGGGCTCGACCGCAGCTCTACAAGGTCAAAGCCAGTCAAGGTCAAGTCCTGACTCTACACGATTTTTTATCAAAATCTCAGCTGCCTTTCTAGTCTCTAGAAGTGAAGACGGGGGAAAGTGAAGGAGGCGCCATGGAGCCGCCAGAGGAGAAAGACGCAAGCTGTCAGCTGGAACCTTGCTGGTAGGCCACAAGCCTCATGGTAAAATATAAAATAATAGAAACGGGTTAATTTAAGATGTCAGAGCTAGCTAGAAATATGCTTAAGTGATTGGCCAAGCAGTGATTTAACTAATATAGTTCCTGAGAGATTATTTCTGGGAAATGAACGAGTGGCCTCTGACCACAGGAGCAGACTCCGTTCTCCGCAGCCGTGGGTGGTCAGCAGCCATGGGCCTGGTCTAGGGCTCAAAGGCCAAGGGCACCCGGTAGAGGGGCTGCAGGCAGGGAATGAGTATGAGGGGCGGAGAAAGGACACAGCCACCTGGTTTCTGTTATCCTGCCTTTAGGGGTTTTGTTTTGTTTGAAGCAGAGTCTCTCTGTTAGAGGTTCTCAGCCTTCCTAACACTGAGACCCTTTAATACAGTGACCCCAACTGTAAAATTATTTTTGTTGCTACTTCATAACTGTCATTTTGCTACTTTTATGAATCTTAATATAAATATCTGTTTTCTGATGGTCTTGGGCGACCCCTGTGACCCACAGATTGAGAACCATTACACTATGGAGTCCTGACTGTCCTGGAGCTCACTCTGTAGACCAGGCTGGCCTTAAACTCACAGAGATCTGCCTGCCTGGTCCTAAACTCAGGTAATCCTCCCACCTCAGCCTCTCAAGGAGCTGGGATTACAGGCTGTGACCAAGGCCGGCAGATGGCTCAACAGGGCCTGATGTTTCATCTCTGGAACCCGCACAGTAGAAAGAGAAAGCCCACTCCCACAAGTTGTCCCCTGACCTTCACACTGCATGTGTGTCACCGACCACCAATAAATAAATAAATATATTTATCATCATCATGCCTGGCCCAAGCCCCGCCTTTAAATGCTGCGTGTCATCCTGACAGTGAGGACGACTGTATCTTAGTTCCTATTCCTATTGCTGTGATAACACACCCTGACAAAAGTGACTTAGGGAGGGGCTGGAGAGATGGCTCAGTGGTTAAGAGCATTGCCTGCTCTTCCAAAGGTCATGAGTTCAATTCCCGGCAACCACATGGTGGCTCACAACCATCTGTAATGAGGTCTGCTGCCCTCTTCTGGTCTGCAGACATACAGACAGAATATTGTATACTGTATACATAATAAATATTTAAATTAAAAAAAAAGTGACTTAGGGAGAAAGGGCTGATTGCGGCTCACAGTTCAAGTGTTCAAGTTCCTGGCGGGGAAGTCAAGGCAACAGTAGCTGGAAGCAGCTGGTCACATGACTTCCACAAGATGGAAACAGTGAGGGATGGATGCATCCCTAGTGCAGTTGGCCACCCCATTTTATACAGTCCAAGACCCGCGGCATAGGGAATGGTTCTGCCCACAGTTAACACGGGATTTCCCACATCAGTGAACACAATCAGAGAAACCATCCCCACAGGCCTCCCAGAGGTCCATCTCCCTGCCTGAATCTAGATTCCACCAAGCTGACGAATCCATTAGCCTTCACACCTGGAAAGTTGGAGCGACAGAGGGAGAAGCTGTGGGGGAAAGCAGCAGCAGCAGCAGCAGCCGCCAGGTCGGTGCTTCAGCAGAGGCGCAGGCGCGATGGAAGCCACAAAGCCCTCCGAAACCAGATCTCTCCGGACACGAGAGCACCGAGGGCTGCGGCCTCCTAGAACCTGGCTGTGAGACCATCGGGGTCATTCTCTTCTCAGAGATGAGGGACAGCAATGGGTGTGTGGTCTTGCGAGGGTGAGGGTGGTAGGAAAGTAGTTACCGTATTTCCTCAAGCCGCAAGAAAGTCAAGACTGTTCTGCTGCGGGACTTTATCTGAAGTGAATAATTGTGCCAGGGCTGGTGGCGCACGCCTTTGATCCCAGGATTCGGGATGCAGAGGCAGGTGGAGCTCCGTGAGTTTGAGGCCAGCCTGGTCTACAGAGTGAGTTCCAGGACACCCAGAGCTTCACAGGGAAACCCTGTCTTGGAAGGTGGGGGGAGGGGAAGGGGATAAAACACTGAAAACTGGTTTTTTTTAATTTTTTTTTAATTTTTTTTAAAAATTTTGTGCTGGGGAACTAACCCAAGCTCTCAAGCATGCTGAAGCAGTTGTTGACCAGAGTCCTAAATCCAGGCCTAGAATATTAATTTTTTTCAGATTTATTTTTAACTACATTCATGTGTGTGTTTGCTTGTACATGCCCTTGGAGACCAGAAGAAGGTGCTGGATCCCACAGAGCTGGAGTTATAGGTGGCTGTGAGCATCCCACTGTGGGTGCTGGAAAGTTCTCTTAAGTGCTGCGCCATCTCTTGAGCCTCTGTGGAATTTTTAAATACACGATTTGTCTTTTAAAGGTATTTTCCAAGATTTCTATCAACTGATAAGTAGATAATCAAAACACAATATATTCATGCCATGGAATAATATCCAGCAATAAAAACGAAAGAACTACCAGGTTCATGCTACAGCACGTACAAACCTTGAAAGCAGGTTAACCCGAAGAAGTCAGGCAGCCAAGGATGGCTGCACAATCCTGTAGTCCCAGCATTCAGGAGGCTGAAGCAGGGGCATTAGGAGTTTCAGGCCAGGGGCTGGAGAGGGCTCAAGGATTAAGAACACTGGCTGCCTTTCCAGAGCACCCACATGGCAGCTTACATGCCCTACTCCGAGCCCACGGCACACCTGGGAAACACTCATACACATAAAAGTAAATTAATTAATTAGAAAAAAGACTTTCAGGTCTGCCTGAACTACATGGGAAACCCTGTCAACAATCAAAACAGAAAGAAGCCAGATGGAAGGGTGCATGTTCTGTGAACCCAGTGACATGTATGTCCACAGAGTGTTTCGAGACAGAGAGACTGGTGGATCTGGGGGTGGAAGGTTTGTTCTCAGCATGGAAAGAAAAATCTAAAACCAATTGGTGGTGGTAGCATAACCTTGAATGTGTAAAACCCCTTGAATTGCACACTGTAAGATGGCTCCTTGTATGTTCTATGAAGTGCATCTCAATACACCTGTTACCAAAAGGGGATACTTTACAAGGAAGATAAATTCACCAGCCACTGCAATTCTTGTAGCTGAACCTTTGTTTAGCTCTGACCTTCAGGAAGCAAAGCATGAAAGAAACCCGGGGGTAAGTCCTCTTAAACCAGGCAGCGGACCCACCTAGTTCAGGCCCCTGCAGAGTTAAAGCAGAAGCCCCCACACCACCATTTTCTGTTTGGGGTTTTGAAAATAGGATTTCTATAGTCCAGCTGGCCTGGAGGTTTCTGGCCCAGACTAGCTTCAAACTTGCAACAATCCTGGAACAACTCTGGCATTCTGGGATTACAGGCTTCCCCACGCATGCCACTTTTTTTTTTTTTTAAAGATGGGGTCTCCACATGTAGCCCTCTGCTTCAGCTTTCTGGGTGCCAGGGTTGCAGGTGTAAGTCACCTTACCGGCCTACTAAACAACTCTTGGTCACACAAGTTACACAAATACACTCTCAGCTAGCAAAAACACTGGTACATCTGGGTTCCCTTAACACGTCTTCTCCCTACCCGCAGCCCTGCAGTTACTGCTAAAAGACATCATGTCCCCAAAAGAACATAAGGGGCTTATGCCAGTGGAAGGCTTAGCAGGTTCCCCTGGCCAGGGCCTCGGCTCCTCTCCATGACATGGACGTCTCCTCTGCACTGAGCTCCAAGAACATCCTTGCTTCAAAATCCTAACCACTCCCCTGAGACCCATCAAACCTAGGCCATCTTTGGAATTCTAACGCTGTCTCAGCGCCACCAAAGAGCCCTCATCGCCAACAGGCTCCCTGCCCTCTGCCCCACAGTCAGACTAACTTGTCCTCTCACTTTGTGACCGCTCCCCACTGCATGGCCACCTGGCAGTATGGACTCCCGGAGGCCAGGGGCTGGGTGGGGCAACCCTTCTCCATAGGAGGTGTGCCAATTGCAAGACAACCACTGAGATCAAACACTGTCTTCTCCCCAGAGGGATGCAGGGAGTAATAAGTTCTGACTTGTACGAATAGACAGACTGTCTGAGAAGCCACTGTGTGCCAGGTGTTGGAGAGCAGGCAAGTCGGTGCCTTTACCTTCCATCCCCCCAAGGATATACTTTGGAGGCCATCATGGCCCCTGTGAAGAATCCTGGGATAACAAAGCACAGTCCAGATGAGAGTGTGAGGTAGCAACCCTAAGTTCCCTTGGGGATAAGAGTCCAAGCCAAAATGTGAGGGAGAAGAGGAGGCTACAGCCCTTCGCCTTTCTCAGCTTTCCCACCGCCTCTCCCTCCTGCCAGCTGCCCCAACAGTTGGTAGAACACTTGCCTGAAGCCCCAGATGTGATCCCCAGCAGCACAGAAACCAGGTGGAGTGGCACATCCCCCAAACCCCAGCAGTTCAAGGTCACTCTTCAGCTATATAGTGAGCTCGAGGCCAGCCTAGTATACCTGAGACCTTGTCTTAAAATATATCTCTCGGCCTTTGGTTCCTTCACTAACAGCTAGACAGCTCCTTCAGTACCCGCCCAAAGAAAGAAGGGACTAGACCAAGCAGCAGTATTTCCAGCCCTCTCCACAGTGGTTTGCTCCTTCTACGTACACACAGGACTGAGAAGCAGCTGACCTGGCGTCCAGCAGATCAGACTCTTGTTTACACTGCCTCTCTTGTTGAGATAACCTGCTCAACCTCCCAGGATCAAGCGCTCGGCAGAGTTCCCCAGCCAAGCAGGAGCCCACAGACCAATGTAACCCTTGTTTATTTCTCCATCTCTTCCGACGTTTTCCTTTAAGAGCTGACAATCTGCCATCCAGTCAGACACCTGGGAGAGACCTCCCCTTCTAGCTTAGCTCTATCCAACCTGTGGTCCTGCCCACCTACTCCGCCTCCTGAGCCCCCTCCTCTACCATAAATCCTGACTCTTCTCAGCCTCGAGCTGCCTCAGCCTTCCTCCATAAGACAGTCAGAGCTAATTTCTCAAGCAAATCCAGCAACGTCACTTCAGTGCTGGTTCTTCTTAGGTCACAGATTCTTGTGAGTTCGAGACCAGCCTGGTCTACAGAGCGAGTTCCAGGACAGGCTCCAAAGCCACAGAGAAACCCTGTCTCGAAAAACCAAAAAAAAAAAAAAAAAAAAAAAAAAAAAAAAAAAAAAAAAAAAAAAAAAAAAATCTGCTCCTAATCCCAGGACTCGGGAGGCAGAGGGAGGATCTCTGGTATAGTTCAAGGCCAGCCTGGTCTAGGGAGCCAGTTCCAGGATAGGCTCCAAAACTACAGAGAAACCCTGTCTTGAAAAAAAAAATCTGAGCCAGGTGGTGGTAGTGCACGCCTATAATTCCAGCCCCTGGGAAGCAAGAAAAAGAATCTGATAAAGGAACTGGAGAGATGGCTCAGTGGTTAAAGAACACTGGCTGCTCGTGCAGGAAACCTGAGTTGGATTCCCGCACCCACAAGGTAGGTCTTACAACTGCTTTCAATTCCAGTTCCAGAGGATTTGATACCCTCTCCCGACCTCTGTAAGCACCAGGAACAAAAGTGGTACACAGACATACATGCAGACACTCCTACGTATAAAATAAAATTTAAAAGTAAACATGAAAAATAAATATGAAAGAATTTGGTAAAAAGCTATAGGCTGGTATACCATTGCCCCAAAGATGTCCCTAGACCTCTAGAACCCTAGAACCAGGGAATACAGGTCAGTTGATCCTGAACTGGAGGCTGTTCTGGTCCCAGCGTGATCATGAGGGTCCTTACCCATGAGGAGGGAGGCAAAGCGAGAGAGCAGAAGAACCCAGCCTAATACCACTGGGGCTGACAGCAGAGGATCTGAGCCTCCACCCCACCCCCAGAACCTCAGTGAGAGGCACAGCCCTGCTGATCCCCCCACCTTGGAGTAGGAGCCCGTGTCAGACCTCCAATGCAAGAAAATGAATTTGTTTGAGCAAGAGGCACCTAGTGTGTGGAAAACTTAGAACAGCAACGGTGAACTCATATCCTCCGCGGATAACTACTCACAGAATTCTCCACGGTCTTAGAGATCTAAGGCTCAAGCCTTCCCTCTGTCTGAGGACTCCCAGGAACGTGCTGGCTACTGTCCTGCCTTTTCATTGCCCCATATTGGGGCAGTTGACCCGCTGGGCAAGGCACTTGGCCTCTTCAGACTGGTCTTGCCAGTCTCTAATGAACCTCTACCACCCCCAACCAAGGATGGTCCCGTAGTAAACCTAAACAACAGAGCCATTCCTCACTCAGAACAACTTGTAACCTTTAGGGGGCTGGCTGGTTACTGTTTTGTCAGCTTGAGACAAGCAAGCGTCATCTGGAAAAGGGAAGCTCTCTGGAGAAAATACCTCCATCAGTTGGGCATTTTAGTATAAAGATGGATGTGGGAGGGCCAAGCCTACCGAGGGCGGAACCACGGGTGGGATGGGGGTGCAAGCGGGGGGTGGGGTGGTATAAGAAAGCAAGCCAGGAAGCAGCCTTCCTCCGTGGTTTGGTTTCAGTTCTAGCCTCCAGGCTCCTGCCTTGGCTTCCCTTGATGGACTGCAACCTATAAACCAAATAAATCTTTTTCTCCCCAAGTTGGTTTTGGTCAGTGCTTTATCACAGTAAGAGAAAGCAAACTAACACGGGGGCTTTCTTCAGTGTTTGGCTCGCTTCCCCTTCACAACCAAAATAAAACCTACGCACATCCCAGACGTCTGGCACTAGGCCAGCACAAGGTGCGCGGATGGGTGACCCTCCTCAAGGCGGGGGGGGGGGGGAAAGGGGGGGGGAGAAGCCTCGTCCTAGGAGGCGTACCCAGGCCACGTGATTGTGAATCATTTCCCCTCACCCGAAGTTCCTTCTACTCGTACTTCTCCAAGATGCCGCTCACACTGAGAAAAAATAAGAAAGTTCCCCGGGGGAGGGGCAGGATCCTGGTTTGGTTCTTATTATTTCTGAGACGGAGAAGCAGGATGGGCTTGAGGCAGCCAGCGGGGCTCCTGGTTAGTCTGGTTCAGGGCCTGGGCACCGAGACTGCTGAGCACTCACCTATGAGCGTGATGGCCCGTGGCAGTTTCTTGCTGTCCATTCCTGCGCGCTGCAGCAGCTCGGCATCTTCTTTGCTCAGTCCGGGCTCCTGACAGCGGCAGCGACAGGTGGGTGAGCCCGGGGGGACAGCGCTGCCCTCGGCGGGGCCGATCCACTCGGTCGGGGTGGCAGCCAGTGGCGATGCACGACCCCACGTGGAGCCCGATGACGGGACTCGTGGCAGCCGCGGGAGCGTGGACGCGGAGCGGCGGGGGAAGGCGGGCGATTCTGGCACCGGCACGGTGAGGAAGCGCGTGGACGGCGCGGGCGAGGGCGAGCGGCTGCTTCCCGCCGCGCCCACGGGTTTAACGCGCACGTCTACCTGCAGCTCCATGGGCGCAAAGGACCCGGGCTCTTCTGACGCCGTCCAGGGCTGCAGCTCGGCCTTGCTGTCCCGGGGCTGCTCGGCCCACTTGGGGCTCGGCGACGGCGGCTCGCGGCTGCATGAGCCCAGGCGGCGGAAAGCGCCATAGCCCAGGCTGAGCGGCGGCAAGCGCGGGGGACCAGACCGAGCCGGAGGCTGCGGCTTCTCCTCCGAGAGCTCCCGGAGGTCGGCGTCCGCCGCCTCCCGCCCAGTCCGCTCCGGCCTCGGGATACCGTCGGGAACCCGGGGTTGCGGTGCCTCCACGGGAATCCGCAGTTGCTCCGTTTCCGGGCTTTCTAAGGGCTCCTCTGGGGACCCGGCCGCGGCCTGGCCTCCCCCAGAAGCTTCCCGGGTCCATTCCATCCCGCACGCCGAGTCCCCAGGACACGCCGAGCGCTGTAACTAGGCAGGGTTCCCAGAAACTTCGCGTAGGTCCCTGAAGTTGTCAACTTTACGCTTCTCTAAAGGACCCCTCTGTGATTGGCTGTGGTTACGAATTGGCCACGCCTCTCGGAGGTCCAGCCCCGCCTTTCCGTGGCACAGGTTGCTGGGCGGGGTTGGCGGAGCGAGTCACAGGGTGGGGTGGCTCTAAAAGCAGCCCTGGGAACCTGAGACCAGCAGATTCCCGTCTCTTTCATCCCGAGCCCCACCCGTTCCCTGAGTTGGCTTTGTACCGCGTGTGTGGGTTCTGTTATAGATTAGGCGGGAAGCCATTGGCTAAATCCGTGTGGACAATGATTTCAGAAGTATCAGAGCAAAGGAAAGGGATGGGATGTTCTTCTAAAGAGTGGCAGAGGGTCACTGGTTGCACAATTTGGGAGAGGGTAAAAGATTCAAGTCCTGATTCCAACTCTGGAAGTGTGAAACTAACATATTTGGAGAATGAGGAATGAGCTAGGGGCCTTGGCCCACACCTTTAATCCCATCACTCTAGGGGCAAAGGAATCTGTGAGTTCAAGGCCAGTCTACTCTACGTAGGGAGCTCCAGAACAGTCAAGGTTTACACAGTGAAACCCTGTCTCACCAAAACAAACAATAACAATAACAAAAAGGAGTGAGAAATGAACGCTCATACTCCCACGAAGTGTGGGGCCCTCCGCCTGCCTGGTGAGGTAGCAATACAGATTTGTGGGGTTTTTCATTTGTTTCGCATTTTTGTTTGTCTTTTTTTTTTTTTTGAGACAATTTCTCTAGGTAGTCCTGGCTCTCTTGGAACTTGCCCTCTAGATCAGGCTAGCCTCGAACTCACAGAAGCACTGAGTGCTGGAATTAAAGGCGTGCACCTGCACCACCACGCTTGGCCTGCATATGGTGTTTATTATTGTAGATTTTCTTTTAGCATTGAAGTGTGTATAGCAGGGTGTCTAACGGAGCTCTTGTGAAGCTCGGGCATCTAGAACCTGGAGTTACAGGTATTTGTGAGTCGCCTGATGTTGGTGTTGGGATTTGAACTAGATTCTTCATGATAGCGCAGCAAGTTCTTACCCTTGGACCATCATCTCTCCCGCTCCTGAATAGCCATTTAAAACACAGATTCCTTGCAGGGTCCTTCCACACTGCCTGAGTCTGCAGAGGCACGGGAGGTCACTGCTATTGTAACCAGTGCTCCAGGGTAGGGTTATCAGACAAAAAGAGACGACTCAGTTAACTCTGACTTCAGATGAGCAAGACAAGTCTCCTGTTTACATGGCAGGAGGCTTACCAGCTGAGCTATTTTCTCCCTAACACCATGAAAATGCATCTTAAAAGGCACAGAACTGTGATTTCCAGGTGGGTATGGGGTGACCAATGCCTGTAACCCCAGCACTGAGAGGGGGAGGCTGGAGGATCAGGAGTTTAAAACAATCTTCATCTGCATATATTTCAAGGAAAATTTATTTCAAGGAAAGCCTCTTTTTTTTAAAAAAAAAAGATCTATCTATCTATCTATCTATCTATTTATTATGTACACAGTGTTCTGCCTGTATGTATACCTGCAGGCCAGAAGAGGACACCAGACCTCATTATGGATGATTATGAGCCTCCATGTGGTTGCTGGGAATTGAACGTAGGACCTCTGGAAGAGCAGCCAGTGTTCTTAACCACTGAATTATCTCTCCAGTTCAAAAAAATCTTTCTAAAACAAAAATTACAAATAAAACACCCAGGCTGAGCTAGTGTATGATTTTAATCCCAGCACTTGGGAGACAGAGGCAGGTGAATCTCTGTGAGTTCAAAGCCAGCCTAGTCTACAGAGTGAGTAGCAGAGAGATCCAGTCTTGAAAAAAACAAAAACCAAACTAAGACCACCACTACCACCACCACCACCACCAACAACAAAAAACCTAATAAAACAAAACACATGAAAAAAAGGAAGAAATAATGAAAGAGAAGGGTGCAAAAACTATCAGAGGTTTATAAGGGACACATGATCAGAACAGAGTCTGCTGGATTTGATGGCAAGGGTGCCTCTTCTGAGGAAGGTTTTGAGAAGGTAAGAAGGATGACAGAAAAGACAGCAGAGGTTTGAATTGTACTTGGGACATGAACAGAGGTAGTGGGTGGGGACAATTCTGTTAGAGAAGGTTGGTGGTGACAAAGGTACTAGGGATCAGACATACATCACGGCACCTGGATATGTTCTTGTCCTCGAATCCTCCATCCTCGCTTTACTAACACCAAAGCCAGCTGGGTTTCCTCCTTCCCTTTGCCTCTGCTGCCTCAAATCTGCCGTCTTCAGCTGCTCTCCACTTTCCATTTTTCAGCGGGAGCTGTTTCCCACCCAACAGATTTATATATTGAAGTCTTTTCTCCCAGGACCTCAGCTGGAAACAGGGTCATTTAGCTGAGGAAAGGCCATACTAATGCAATATAGCTGGTATCTCTAGAAAAATAAGACATTTGCAGAGACCTGTGCTCAGAGAAAATGCCAAAACTTGAAGGCAGAGATTGGGAGAATGTACCCAGAAGCCAAACAAACCAAATAAATTATGGAGGATGCCATCAAAGCTAGGAGAAGCTAGGGGTAGGGCAAAGAGTAGATGCTTTCCTAAGGAGCCAACCCTCCTGACGCTGTGATCTCGAATTTCTGGTCTCCAGAATTGAGGGGATAATTGAAGCCACTCAGTCTGTGGGACTCTGCCTTGGCAGTCCTTCCGACCTAGTAAGCTGCCTTCCTGGGAGGGCTTGGCCACCCTGGGTGGTCAGCACAGTATGCTTGTGCCTATAGCACCCGCCTTTCCCTGTGACTGCCATATGAGGTCTTCCTTTGTAGGAATCTAGCACTTGATGTGAGAAAGACAGAGCTGGAGTGTCAGAACTACAGGGGAGAAACTCCAGGGAGAAGATCTACAAACACTGCCTGAGTCTCCAGGTTCCTGTTGTCAGCAGGGCGGTGCTTGTGAGTTCAATTCTGTAGGCTTCATGAGACACTGTGTATCCTTCTGCAGTCGTGAGTTCAATTCTGTGGGCTTCAGGAGACACTGTGTATCCTTCTCTGCTCATAGGTTCAATTCTGTAGGCTTCAGGAGACACTGTGTATCCTTCTCGTGTGTCTGCCGTCCTTTTGCCATACTTTAGTGTTCTAGTTTCGGTTCAATTGCTGTGATGAAATGATAGAAAGCGTCTCAGAGGAGAAAGGGTTTATTCCGGGTTACAGTCCATCACTGAGGGGAAGTCCAGGCAGGAATTCAAGGCAGCTCGTCACATCACATCCGCGGTCTAGAGCAGAGAGGAATCAGTGTGCTCACATTTCTTGTTTGCTTGTGCTTATAACTTGACCTCTCTTACACAGTTTAGAACTCCCTGCTTAGTGAGTAATGCCACCCACACTGGGCTGGGTCTTTCCACATCAATTGCCAATCAAGACACTCCCCCATCCTCTAGATACCCTCACAGGCTAACCTGATCTACATAGTCCCTCAATTAAGGTTGTCTTGGGTTAACATAACTGCACGGCACATTCTTTACTCAAAATGCAAGTGGCAGAAAGCCCAAGTCCTACCACGTCTTTGGATTCCTTTGAAATAAGAGCTAGACTTTGATGTCCCTGCACTGTCACAACAGCCCTGGTGCCAGAAGGCCATTTCCAACTTCTTGGTGGAACATCCTAAGCCAGGCGAGCTACCCAGCTCTCTTGAGTGATCAGATGTAGAAAGAAGATCAGATACCCACTGCGGTCCTTAATCCTCTCACTCTTCTCTCTTCCCCTCACTTTGGGCTAGGCGTGGAGGTTCAGCAAGCAGCCGTGTGTGTGTGTCAGGGCGGTCAGTGTAGCATCAGGGAAAGAATGAAAAAGCCCAGAATGCCTGGGGAAATGTACTGGGGCCCTGGCCAGCATCAGAAAGAGACAGAAGACATGGAGGAGGTTGCATCTTTCTGAGTCAAGGGGCTCAGCTCTAACTCACTCAGGGAGTCAGATCTAACATATCCTTCTGGTTCTGTATTGACTGTTCAGAGGACTGGGGTTCTGGGAAGGAAAAGCACATTATCTCATTTAGGGAATAATTATTTCTCCCATCTTTAGCATGGCCTAAGGTGAATCAGCCTTTCTGAGGGGTGGTCCCTTGGCCAGATGATTGATAGGCCCAATGGATAACTCTTACATTTTGGGTAGCTTGAAATGTCAGGTCTCCACCCAAGGCTAGAGGTAGAGTCCCTTTTTTTGACAGGAAGAAATAGATTTCCCTTAATGGGTTTCAGTAGAATCCGGTCAAGGCTACTGTAACGTTTCCCGTCCTGAAAAGGTCACTCTACCATCATTTAGGAGATAGGCTGAAATCGGGGAATAGATAGAAACCATTTCCATCATGAAAATCCAGAGATTAAGTTCCACGATTGCTGGGATTAGTGTCTGGACTGGTCTCCAGCCATGCCCTTGCGTATAGCCTCAAGGCAGGGACACTCATTTACCCGGAGCTGAGAAACCAGAGCTCTCTCTTGGTGAGACCAGAGAGCCAAGGGCGCTGGAGCTGCTGCTTTCCGGCTTCTGCCCCAGCTGCCTGTCCAGTTTCCATCTCTGGTTCTCAGCATGAATACCGCCGGCTCTGCAGTCTCCTGGATGATTGAACTGCTCTCTGATGTTGTAGCTACTCAGATCTTTATTTTCAATACGCTGCCCCTGCAGGTGAGCATTTGAACTGTTACAGCGGTGCAATGCCTCCGAGGGGCCAAGCTGTGGGTCTGATGCTCCGTCACCATTCCTGTAGCTTGTTTTTAAAAGCGCGTGTTTCTAAACACCTCAGAGTAGATTCAGTCGAGCGGAACAGCTGAGCTGATGGGTGGTCACAATTTCAAATGTGATGGGTGGCTCCCAAAGACCCAGTCGAGGCTGGGCGAGCAGTCTCTAAGTCTCATTCCCTTCAGCCTCACCAGGGCCCCATGCTATCAATCTCCTTAGCTTTCAAACAGC